GCAACCTTTACGTGGAATTGCAGGGTTTTAAACAAAATGTTCTTGTTTTACTTGTTTAACATTAGTGTCTATGGGCGCGCGCAAAGCACTTGGAGCACCGTCGAACTATTTTGCTGCTCTTTTCCAGGAAGTTGCATGCTCATGGATGTAGTCATGTCAGATGATGCACAACTTTTGGGCGTTTCATTGCCATAATATAATTTATAAAAATAATGCCATGCCTACTCATGATCAGAGCCCAAAAAGCATTCCCGATTATGCTGCCCCACCCTGTACATTACAATCCCCCCCCCCAGCCGAAAAGTTGGAGGGGCTCAGCCCCCGCTAGCCCCCCCCCCCCCGGTTCCCGCACCACTGCGGGTAACACGCTCGTTTTATACCGCAAAGTTCCAGTTCAGAGGCCGAGAGGCTGGGGGATCCGATCCCCTATACGTTAGCTGTTGTGAAAACGCCAATAGACGAGCGACGGTTAGCGTTCAGCCTGGATTCGTCTTTTCTTTGAATCCCGGGGACAATCAGTCGTGATGTCTGTCCCATCAAGGCGGCCATGAATTCTAAGATGACTTTCTCAGATGCCCTCATTACCCCTCGCCGAGGGGCTCCATTACCCCCAAAGGGGGCATGCCCCACCATTTGCCGACCCCTGCCTTAGATTAACGGAAATTTCTGAGTATGAGCGGCCGGCCGGCCGGCCGGCCGTGCGGACGCTTTTGGGAGGCTTATATCTCAGCAACCACTTGACCGATTTACATGCGGTAATTTTTGTAGGGTAGCTTCATTCCTTCTACCAAGTATTGGACTATTCCCGATGCATGTGGGTCACCCCTTATGCACGTGCCACGTGCAAAACGAAGAGGTGTCACTTTTGTAATTGTTGCAATATCTCGGTAACTACTTGGCCGATTGCGCTGAAAGTTGGCATGTAGGTAGGCACCCACTAGGCACTGCATATCCATGTGCCAGAGTTGGGGTGCTGCTGCACGTGCGCACGTGCAGGGGTTGTTTCCAGATCTCGAGAACGGCTGGACCGATGGCGCTCAAATTTGGTACACGGTTAGGGACCAGTTCGTAGGGTGCCGTGCACAAGTCAGTTGTGACCCATTTTGCACGTGCGCACGTGCAGGGTGCCGCTCCCAGATCACGAGAACGGCTGGGCCGATTGTGCTCAAATTTGGCACATCGCTAGAAACCGGTCAGTAGGGTGTCGTACACAAGTCAGTTGGAGGTACCCCCTCGAAATTTCGCACGTGCAAGACTCACCCCCTCGCTCGCTCCGTTAGTCGCCCCAAAAGGCGCTATACTGGTTAAAATATGTGCAATTCTAACGCCGAATAAATACGAAAAAGTGTCGAATGCCAAATCGTCTCCTGACTACAATGTTTGATGGATTGGCAATATCGTTGGTACCGAAGCATTATGAAACATTTATCTCGCTTTATTGAAGAGAGCAGGTTAAACTGAGCACGTTTATTGTCTTTAATTGCGTAAAACTCTCGGTTCGATATAAGCGCTATTGAATCTATTGAAAGCGCACCTCTAGGTCACGTGACTGGGGTGTGTCACGTGATTGCGCTTAACCCTCGCGGGCCCGGGGGGGGCGTTTTTCGCCCCCCCCTGGCGAATATTTGCGATAGCTCCCGAACGCTTAGGGATAGGAAGGCGAAACTTTCAGTACCTTTTCTCCCATCAATTTGACATCTTCTGAAGTAAAAAATTTGCACCTAGCCCCCTTGATGACGTCACAAGGTCCATTTTTCTAGACCCCTGCACGGCAAACTTCGGCGTCACAGACGCAAACTTCAAATAGCTGCTAAAAATAGAGTTTTAGAGATAAAGACAAATTACGAGCACGGTTGTGTAGCGTTTGACCTAGAGAAAAATAGAAAAATAGTTTTGGTGACCTGAGGTCAGAGGTCAGGTCAACGACCCCGAAATGTGGTTTTAGTTTTTCGCAAATAACTTCGACAAAAATGGTCCTAGAGCTACGGCAGTGGTACCATCGCATTCGCCTTGTCAAGCCGCGTCGAATGATATATATTTTGTTCGGAAAAGGTCAAATTTTATGTTGACCTCATGTGACCTCGAATGACCTCTGGTTGACCTTGACACATGAAAGGTCGTTTATGATGGATTTGTACCCGCTGATCACGAATCTGGCATCTTTTTTCCTCTAAGCCTTCATTTAGAGCTTCCGGATTGCAAAATTGTCTTATTTATTATTACTAACTTGAATCAGTAAAATAGCCTCTAGCAGGGATACTCTTCTGTGACCTTGACCTTTGAGCAGCCTTGTATCGTAAGATGAACCACAAATAGGGAACTGATAAGCCTCAAAACATTTCAAAACATCTTGGAAGTTAGCACGCAAGATATGCGAAAAAGTGCCAAGTTTGAGGTCAATTTTGAGCGTGACCTTGACCTTGACCTTTCACTTTGAGCACATTTTCAGAATCCTCAGATTCTCTTCTTTCGTTTGACAGCCAATTTTGCCGGTTTGATGCAGCCTGCCGTCCTCTAGAAGGCTTACTTTGAGATCACTACACATGTGGCGGTTTTTGCCTTTGACCCTGACCTCTGACCTTGAAAATTGACCTGAGGTCAAAAATTTTAAGTGCATTAGAATCGTCTCGTAAGGACCTTTCGTTTGGTATCGCTTTTGTTTCCGTAGCTCCCTTATTTACGGAGTTAGACAGGGGGGGGGGCGAAAAACGCCCCCCCCCCCGGGCTGCGGTGGTTGGGAATACCCCCCGGGCCCGGCCGGGTTAAAACCGAAATCGGCGTCACAGGAGTGACCACTTTTATGTTGCTGAGGTCATCTCAGGTCATGAAAGGTCTCCAGTAGATTTTGGACAGTAACTTTTGATAGAAATATGATAGACCAATGAAACACCCCATATAATTATTTTCCTTCTCGAAAATATGGATCGACTAATATGCAGTATGACCTTTCCCGGTTAGGTGATGACCTTTACCTTAGGTTACATTCTCAAATGCCCTTTTGATGTCAAATTCTAGTTCATTTGACTCGTCTGTCTCGAAAAAATACACGATGCTGGATAAACTAATCTCGTGCAGGTCTGAGCCAAGAGGTATTACAGATAAAAGTCCTCCGCGAAAAATATATTTTGAAGCTAAAACGTTTACCTCAGGTCATCTCAAACGTTTACCTCAATGGCATTGACCGGTTTGCGGTGCCGCACGGCCGGGTCGCGCAGCTACTGAGAGAGCTGAGTCCGCACAAGGCCTGCGGCCCGGACGGTCTCAGTGCGCGCATTCTGCGAGAATGTGCTGATGAGCTGGCTGTTCCCATTGAAATATTGTGCGAAATGTCTGTGTCGCGAGGGTCGTTTCCGTTGTACTGGAGGAGGGCTAACGTTGTGAGTGTTCACAAGAAGGGCTCTAAGAAAAATCCAGAAAATTATCGGCCGGTGTCATTGCTGCCTATCTGCTCAAAAATTCTGGAAAGAGTTGTATTTGAGAACCTTCTGCCAGCGTGTTTGCCAGCCATTCCTCCCAATCAGCACGGTTTCCTGCCTGGCCGCTCATGCGTCACCAACCTCTCCTGCTTCCTTAACCACTGCTGGTCCTCCATTTCCAAAGGCAAACAAACTGACGCCATATACACAGACTTTTCGTCTGCATTCACGTCTGTCAACCACACCTTGCTCCTTCACAAACTCAGCTATTCTTTTCAAATCACTGGCCTCGCTCACACCTGGCTGACGTCCTACCTCAGTGATCGCATGCAACGTGTCGTCCTGAATGGCAAGCACTCCATGTGGACCGCAGTGCGGTCAGGCGTGCCGGAGGGCAGCATTTTGGGCCCCCTAATGTTTTTGTGTTATGTTGCTGACATCCCAAAGTGCATCGAAACTGATTGTCTGTTATATGCCGATGATGTAAAGCTCTTCCACCGCGTAGAATCTACTGAAGATGTTGCCGTCCTAGAGAGGGATATAGACCGACTATGTGGCTACCTAAAACCTGGAAGCTAAAACTCAACCCGAGCAAATGTCAGTGTATAACATTTACACTCAAGTCATCTCCTGTTCGCGCCGTGTACAGACTGGATAGTCATGAGCTTACTCGCTGTCATGAGGTGCGTGATCTGGGTGTTATATTGGACGCGAAGCTTACGTTTGCTCAGCATGTCGATGTGACCGTGCGGAAATGCAAGAAAATGTTGGGGATGATTATGCGAGGTGTCCAACTGCCTCGGTGTCCCCGGCGGGTCAAGTTTGACCATAGTGCGCTGATCGCCGCGTACAATGCCCATGTTCGCTCCATTGCTGAGTATGGCAGCGTTGTGTGGAGTGGCGCAGCAGTAACACATCTGGCGCGGCTCGAGCGCATGCAGCATCGCTTCTTGTCTTGGCTGGCATCCAACACCCACGGTCGCGACCTGCCCATGAGTTATGAGACGCTTCTTGTTCGATTTGGCATGTGTTCTTTGAAATCGCGCTTTATTCAAGCCGATCTCCGTCTGGTTTTGGGATTGCACCATGGACGGATCGACTGTCCTCACCTTCTGGGTCTGTTTGGTCTGGCGGTTCCTAACAGACGTTCTCGGCAGCCAGCACTGTTTCATGTCGCATTCGGCAGAGTGAACACTGTAAAGTCGGGACTTTTCATTCGCATTCCTGTGCTATGCAACAATTTTCTACAGAAAATTCCGAATGCAGATATGTTGGCTCCGTCGAACTGCATCCATTCTGATGTGTGTGATTTCGCTCGTTCTCAGGGTGCTTACATCTGAGACAATGTATCGTGCTTTGTAGTAGTATGTAGTGTTTTTTTTTTTTTTGTATTTTATGGGCATGACTGCCACTGTAAATGGGCCGCTGGGTCTGTGGTTGGCTTGGCACAATACACAATACACAATACACAGTCAAATCTGAGATAATCATTAAGAGAGCGCATAAAAAGAGCAATTGTAGTGTACGGAGCGGCCACTGGTGGCGCTGGTGTCGTGACCTGTGAGAGCAATAAACAGTTGACCGCTACATCTGGTGGCAGGCGGAGGGCGCTCCGTAGACTGAGACCCGCGCGATGCCGACGACCGGTGACTGTGAGGGAGTGGTGACGGGTGCAGTGGCGGTGATAGTGCCACCCCAGCCCAAGAGTGAGCACTGCTCAATTTCGGAGTACCTGGAGTATTTCGATGCAGTGGCGACTGCGAATTCGTGAAACGACGCAAGCGACTCCGTTTGAGCTGGTGTTCTGCAGGCGCGCGCAGCTCCCGATAGACACCATGCACTCGAGCATGCGGTCCGCGGCGGATTCTGGTCTGATGAGCAGGCTGACTGATGTGCGTACAGGAGCCCGTGATGTGTCGCGGCGGGCGGCGGCGAAGCGAGCACGTGACTATGATGCTGCAAAACACGTAAAAATTCGCGGGCTCAAGGTAGGCGAAGACGTGTTTTGGAAACGCCCCATCAGGCAAGCAGGTGTATCGCCTAAACTTCAAGCCATATGGTCGGGGCCTTTTGTTGTCGTTCAGAAAATGTCTGATGTCAACTATCGTATCGAAGACAATGAAGGGAAAACTGTCGTCGTCCATGTAAATAATTTAAAGGCGTCTCATGTTCCGCGTGACACTGCCCGCGCGGGTGCAGTTATTCGTATGCGTGGTAGACCGAGGCAGAGACGCTGAGTGTGTGACAGCGGTGTGTCACGTTTTGGTTATGTTTCTTTTCTTGAAGGGGAGGAGATGTCGCAACTTGGTGGGAGGTGTAGTGTACGGAGCGGCCACTGGTGGCGCTGGTGTCGTGACCTGTGAGAGCAATAAACAGTTGACCGCTACACTATCGAATATGCCCTTTGCTGAGGCGCTGTAGCTCAATCTCTTTCTGAATCCTGACATGCGCCGCTTTGTCGAAAAATGTCAACATCGGCGAAATTTGATTTTCGGTTGTCGCTGGTGACCTGACCTTCGACCAGTGCGACCTAACCTTAAAAATGATCTAAGTAGCTTTGTAATAGTTTTTGACGCTCTTTCGAACGCCGCCTACTGCGTGTCTCGACGTGGCCCACAAGCTGAGTTAGAAATGGGTGTTCAAACACCCCCAGCAGGTTCAATTAAAAAACGCTTACGCTGGGGGCGGCACCGCGCTGCTAGGCGCTGTCGGCATCGCAATAATGGGCGGCACAGCGCTGAGGGGCGCCACTTGCATTGAGGGGTGGCATTGTACGGTGAAAGGGCGGCGTCGCATTGAGGGGCGCTATCGCAACGAGGGGTGGCACTTACGAGACTGCCTTATAAGGAACGCTTGGCACATCCTAGCCCATCTCGGCGCCGCCTGGCTGCTGCATCTTGAAAAGGGCCCTTGGTCTCGATGAGAAAGCCCCATTGTCCAATAATTGCCTAGCGTCAGTGGTTTCGGGGGGAGGGGGGGGGGGCTATCAATCTTGAATGGGGCGGAGCGACCGAAGTCTCCATTCAGTTTCACGTCAGTGACTACTGGAGGGCGTCAATGACCTCGGATAGGGCGAATGTGATCTTCAGAAGGGCGCCGGGTGCTCTAGAGGGGTACAATACTTAGATGGTGTCACTGCTGCCTTCAGTAGGGCGTCGGACGCCCTGGAGGGGCGCCATTGATCTCGGATGGTCTGACTGGGATTTTCAGAGGAGCATCAGTGGTTTCAGAGGGGCGCCATTGATCAAGGATGGGCCGACTGAAGTCCCCGGTTCAGGTAGGCGCCAGTGGCTCTTGAGGGGCGCCAGCGACCTCGGATTGATGGGGCGACTGTGATCTTTAGAACGGCGTTGAGGAGCGCCATTGGGCATGGATGGGGCCGCTGTTGCCTTCATCAGGGCGCCGGAGGGAGGCTCTGGAGGGGCTTGAGCTTGGATGGGTCGACTGTAGTCTCCAGGGGCGTTGTCTCGGATGGGGCGAATGTGATATTCAGAGGGGTGCCGGTTGCCGGGTAGTCTAGAAGGGCGCCATTGGTTTCAAAGGGTTGCCATCGATCTTAAGATGGGGCAGCTGTAACCTTCGTTTAGGTGGGCGTGATCTTCAGAAGCGCGCCGGACGCTCTGGAGGGGCGTCATTGGGCTTGAATGGGGCGACTTAAGTCTCAAGCGGGACGACTTCAGTCTCAAGGGGGGTGGGGCGCTAGTGGCTCTTGAGGGTGCTATTGATCTCGGATAGGGCGACTGTGATCTTGAGAAGAATGCGAGTGCTTTAGAGGGGTGCCAGTGGTTTCAGGGCGCGCCATCGATCTTGGATGGGTCGATTGGGGCAGCTGTGAACTTCAGAGGGGCGCCGGGTGCTCTGGAGGGGCGCCATCAAGCTTTACTGGGGCGACTCTTCCGTTCAGGTGGGTGCCAGCGGCTCTTCAGGGGCGCCATCGACCCCGGGGTTCGCAATATTCTGGTATCCGGAGGGGCGCCCCTCAACATTTGGGGGCTCAGGTCGTATTTGGGGGTGCCCTGGAGAACATTTAGATGTCCAGGCACCCCCAAAGAGATATTGAGTTCGATCCCTGCCTGCACATCACTTTTTAATTCATGTTTTCTCTGTAAAACGGCATCAGCCTAGTCGGCGATAATTGGAGCGCCATTTGGGCGTCTTGGCGGAAAGGGGGGCATGGCCCCCATGGCCCCCCTGTATACGCCACTGCTAAGAACCATTGATTCATTCAAAGGTTGACCGAGATATCGCTCGCCGAAAACAGGCCATTTGACATGTAAACCCTATGGACTAGTAGGAAATGTACGCCGTGGAGCAGCAGTGCTACCAACTAACTTCGGCGGGGGTCGGGTTAACCCGCGAGTTGCTGGGGGGGCGTAAAACGCCCCCAATTTTTTTTCGCCGGGCCATAGCATAAAAACGGCGCGCCGTAGGCGCGCCAAATTTTGGGTACCTGTAGGGATTTGATTGAAGTTTATTGTGACATAGTTTCAAAAAAATCGGTCGGAATTTTTTTTTGAAAAAATGGCCAAAATCCAGAATTTTCAAAAAACGAGATAGCCATTTGAGAGACAACGTAGAATTACGTAAAACCTTTTTTGTTACGTCTTGATTCCTTTAAAAATGAAGATGTTAGCGGCGTTTGAAATTTTCCCGTTTTTCAGGCGAAAATGGCGAACATGACGTCACTAAAACGTCGATTTCTCAAAAAATTTCCGACGGATTTCGCTCAAAATTTCAGGGAACATGTCAAATTGATGTAAGGAAAGGTACTGAAAGTTTGGCGGCGCTGCGCGCCGCCGTTTTCAGTTATTGCAAAAATTCGCGAGGGTGGGTAAAATTTACCCCCCCTCCCCCACCAGCCCCGCGCGGGTTAAAGTTGAATTTTGAGGTCACAGGTCGGGTCAAGGTCAGGTAAAACACCTCAAATCGGGCTTTCAGTAGCATGGACTTCAGGACTTCGCAATGGGCGCCTCTCGTCATAAACTTTGTCAAAACGGTGCGCAATCCATCATATAAGGTCTACAAGAGTGTCAGCTCAATGCAGGGTTCAGCCAAGTATAGGTCAGGGTCAAGGTCAGGTCATATCCCCGAAAATCAAAACTGATATTCGCAGCCTGTGACGCATGTTTTATGGGTACTTTGGAGCGTAGAACACGATGGTGACATTCATTTTGTCATATGTGTACGTGTTCGGCTTAAAAAGTTCAATTTAAGAAATGCATGTATCATGGTCCTGAGGTAGTCACGGGAAAATGCCAAGGTTCAGTTCAAGATTTGGAAAATGCGGAACGATAATCAATAATCGAAGATAGCCATTTGATTATTCAAGGTATTGGCAGTCTAATGGCGTTTACGGCATGCCTGTATGTCTATTTTGTGATTTTATATTATTTTTTGAACATATGCCGTTTTTGGTCGAAAACTCAGAAATCATGACGTCACTAAAACCTCGATATCTCAAAAATATTCAGACCGATTTTTTTGAAACTTTGTCAAAATAAATTTCAATCAAATCCCTACAGGTACCCAAAATTTGGCGCGCCTACGGCGCGCCGTTTTTATGCTATGGCCCGGCGAAAAAAGTGGGGGCGTTTAACGCCCCCCCCCCCAGCAACTCGCGGGTTAACCCTCGCCGGACCTATTGGTTTTCTACATACGCGCCGGCCGAGGGGGGGGGGGGCGGGTACGACCCCCCCTCGCCATTTCGCCCCTGGTGGAGCTAGCGCGTCGCGGAAAAAACGAGCGTGTGCGCCGTTACGAGACGCAGAGATTGGTACCCGATTTTAAGGTCCTAGGTCAACCGGTGACCTCTGAGGTCAGGTCAAGTGCCCCAGGGTACGGTTCAGTTTTTGGTGAATAACTTCGCAAAAAATGGCCGCAGAGCCGCGATTTTGGCAGCATCGTGTTCGCCTCGCTCAGGCACGTCGAATGATATACTTTTTGTCCGGGTCAGGTCAACTTGGGGTGCTGACCTCAGGTCAAGGTCAGGTCAGCACCCCCAGGTCACGCAGTTGGTCGAAAGAGGTCATGTCGCATATCATTCGATTCGGCAGGTCTTCCTGAGTCCATTGGTGGCTTTCTCGACTCGCTAGCTCAATTTGATCAAGAGTTATTGACGAAAAACTAATATGACCTTGATGACGTCATAAATGACGTCACGCAAGGTCAACATTGCAAAAGTGACGCATCTAATCTTGCAAGGAGTGCATCAAATCACGTTTCTGTGTGCTTGAGATAGTTGGAGATCGTTCCCGGCGCCAGAATAGCAGTTTGAATTTTTCCCCATTGACTTATAATGGTGAGGTCACGAAAATGACCTGACCTCATATGACCTTTAGGAAAAATCCGAGATATACAAGTTGTGAGACTCATAATTGATACTAGATCCTGCAAGTTTCATTTCCCTGTGACATCTCCTCTGGCAGTGAGGGCGTTGCGAAGTTGCGACATCTGAAGACCGTGCAGAGGTTCACTTATGACGTCATAGGTCAGTGACCTGACCTGACCCAAAAATGCGGTTGGTGTCAAAAGATGCGGCTTGGATCAAAGGTCAGGTATGCCAAGTTTCAGCTCTCTATCGCCAGCGTGTTCGGAGCTATCGCGAAAAAACCCTTTGGGTGGGGGCGGCACCCGCCCCCCCCCTCGGCCGG